ATTTTATGCACGTTCAAGAGGAGAAATGATTGCATGTGCTGACCATCACCGTGTGAGACACCGCCAATTGAAAAGACAATTTTGTGTATTTGCATCCAAACGAGAAGAATGAAGTTCTATGATGTTTGAGAGGGACATTTCAGAGGCGCATTCACAACACAATAAACAAAACGAACCATGAAGAACCATTAGCGATTCCATGCATTAAGATCTATGCAACAAAAAGCCTCCGTTTGAATTAAATTTGCATGGGCTTTAACCCCCAGAGACTCTATCGTGAACATCAAGCTATCTAATAATGTGTGGGTGTAGCTTCCTGTGCATTTAAAATTACTGCATTTCAACATCGAGATCAAAGAAACTGCCGTCAAGGAAAACCCACAATAGCTGCATATTTTGTTCTTCCTAGCTGTCAAAGCCATATTAAGGGTGTTCTTAGCCCGCGGGATGCCCTGTGTTTTCCACACAAAACTTAATATTTGTTTTTCAGAAGTGGTTCATTCAGATAAAGTAAAGTGAACTGAAGTGTATTTGCAGCCATTGTTGGAGATGTTTGCTTTCATCTCAGTTGAAATCACGCCACATGGCGCTGGGAGTTCATCTCTTCTGGGCTCCACCTTGCTTTCCCCCAGCAGGTCACCATATTTTGGCAAAAAGAAGAACAGTGGCTCAATTGAACAAGAGTTATGGGGGTTAAAAAATCAGATTTGTCAATGTGCTGGCCCCACCAGAAGCTGATGTTAAGGGATCATGGGACTGTTGTCATTACTACAAACAACCTTTTTTTCTTTCTCGAAGTTAACAAATGCAGACAAAAACATACAGATTTTAAAAAGGATTTTCAACAATGCATTTCGTCCCTGTTGGATACTTCTCAAACAACTGCAAAGTCGCCAGCTGAATCTCCCCTACGGTGTCTTTTTAGAGCTTTGTGGTGTACTTTGTAACTCGCTCATGTAGCAACTGACAGAAATACAATAGAGAAACTATGTGTTGCCTAGAGGCGAGAATACACCCGTAATACTACTGGGCAGCTGTGCTGGAGTGACATCATGCAGTAATTCCCCGGGTCAGATTCTCCTATTCAAACCGGAAGGGCCTGACTCGGTGGTTCGCAACATGTGGTTCGGGGTTGCCTGAGGGGTCCGAAGATAAGTTCAAAGGGGTCACAAAATGATTTAGACATATTTCTGCTTGCGCTAAATTATGTTTGTAGTTGTCCGGACTTCCCTCTGGTTTCGCATCTTGCATCACACCTATTCGAATCTAATCTCTCTCTGATCAATCTGCTCACGTGGAGGGCCCCGCTGAGGCCCTACGTGGTCTCAAGCCATGTCCTTTCTTTGTCATGGCCTGGATTTAAATTGCTGCAGTGTTTAACAATGAGTACAACAGAAAATACTTCCCATTCCAATATCGCGGTTGGATGTTTTGTCCGAGCGGCTTTCCAAACCACACTAAACCTCCCAAATAGAAATTTACTATAAATAAGAGAAAAGCAGAAAAAAAACTCCCAATGGACCTGGAATGATCAAATGTTTGACCTTAAAAAGGGGATTTCAACTAAATCTAAATAAGTTCTAATTACAGTTCTTCTCCCATAATAATCAACTCATCAATTGTTGCAGCTCTGCTTGACTCGCTGTCAATACAGAAAAGTTTTGTGGCACGTTTTCGGAATGACAGATGGGTTTAATTTAGCATCTCCTCCGAAGATTATCTCTCTTTTGGGTCTCATGTGCTCGTCCAAACTAACAATGCGTCCTTTGAGCAGATGGTGGGTGAGTTGTGAAGCTTTTTGAGCTCAGTCCAGCGGTTTTCAGCGTTTTAAAAACTCCGACGATAGTAAACAAACACTGCAGCGGCGTCTCGCTTTCCCTTCCCCAGCAGCCAGCAACAGCAGCGCTGGCCCCAGATCACATGTGTGTGTGTGGGGGGGGGCGGCCTACAGGTAGCTGTTGGAACAGCCATAGACTGTGCAGAGTGTTTATTAACAGGGCCAGAGACACACCCTCTCCGCGCAGGCTGCGGGGCTTTCCGGGTCCAAACCTCCAAACAGGAAGCAGCAGTACCCCGCACACATGGTCCCTTTCTGCCTTCCCTGGCTTTGCCGTCACCGTTTGCTATTACGGCACCGGTTCCAATCGCAGTTCACCGTAAACTGGCAAACTACAACGTCACATTCGATACAAGCTTCTTTCTTCTTTTTTTTTTAACCGCCCCCAACAATCCCTCCAAATAATAATGACCGATGCACGGCCTGGTTAAGTGTGGGTTAAACTGTCCTCACTCTGCATGGATTTGTTTTATCATTACTCAATAATTTAAGCGTGATGCCAGACCGAAGGATGACTCCGGGGCTTGCTTTCTGTTGCACTACAGCCGCACGCACAAACCGGACTACGATTGCAACACGCTGCAGCTCAATGTGCTTTAACAAGCTTCTACCAAGAAGGGCGGAAGAATAACAAGTTGCATGCAGATGCTGTTTGCATCAAAAGGACGATCATATGACTGCTCCTCAATGCATAAATCATGAGCCCTTCAGCGAGGCTGGCAGAAAACGTTTATGCCGGCAAATACCCGTCAAGTTCTGGGTCAGACCGGGCTCATCCTTAATTGTCGTGACTTTACACCAATTAGCTAATTCTCCGCCCCTTTTGAGGAAAAACTAAAGTGCGCCTTCGAGCAGTGTGTAGTTCAATGCGGTTGCAGCTTCGGAAGAGCTCACATTTACAGTCTTTAGCGGCTCAAAGTTAGAATCCGAGTGTTTCCAGGGCCTTGGAGGGTGGCTGGTAGATAGATAGAGGGTGGGCGAGCCGCGGGATTTACTACGGGCCGGCAATTCGAGGTTTGTACCCGGCAAGCTGTCAGGAGGTACTGCAGGTGCACGCGCAACTCGCTCATCTCCGGCTCGCTGCGGATTTACTTAATCACAACATCTGTTGGCGCAGTGCACCCGCGTTCAAATAACACCAATGCACCACACAAGCATTACGATAGGCTAATTTACTAAACCGAGGAATAAACTAAATAGCAATTAAAAGCAGGTGGAAAATAGCTTCTGCCGTTAGGATCCTGTTGAGATTTGCCACAGTTGTACTGAAAAGAGACAACGTAGACACAGCACACAAAACCTTCCTCGTCCCAGTGAAATCAGCCCTGCACATGATGCTCATTTAAAATTCCCACTCCAGAGAAGGAGAATAGAATTTAGCTGGAGTCAAATGTTACTTGTCTCATTGTTCTCGGCGTGACCATTTTGTTTATTTCGATGTATCCTCATTAGCTTCATTCTGCCACACTAATTACCATTCTTCTCAGGGCCTCTACAGTATAATTGAAAAAAGGTATGCACACTGACGTACCGCAGGCAGACAAACTGTTCATGTGTGAGAGTAAAGACAGCTCAAATCAAGGTGAATGGTATGAAATGTGAAATTAAATCACAAGTTTAAATCTGACACGGTGAGCTACGATGCATCTCTTTTTTTTTTTAAATGTGCAGCTATGGATCATTTCAAACAAACATTCTCAATAAGCCCCTTTGCATTTTCCGGTGTGATGTTTGTCAATACAGCAGCTGACTCTGCTCTACTCTTCAGCAGCTCTTTCCGTAGCAACAGAGCGGCAAGGAAAAGGTCTACAGGTGATATTCAGTCTGGCGGCTGGTTCCATTGAATAAAAGCTCTGTTTGAAGAGGTCGGCCTGTGCTCACCTGGGCGTGTTCGTCACGGACAGAGTAGTCAGGTGTTTCTCACAATGTTACTTTATTAATGGAAAGCAGCGCCATCAAGCAAAGACTTGTGACGCTTTGCATTGAGGAAATTATCTTGTGAGATCCTCATTTGAGAGGAACATGTCTTATCGTAACAAGGGAGTAAATTTAAACTTCTCACCGTCACATTAGCTATTTTTTTCCTCCTCTGTTGATGTAGAGGCGACCTTTCTCGCTCCGGCGTACCTGCTTCCAGATGTACTACCAGATGTATTAGAAGTAATTCAGCGGCGTCATTGACATTGATAAATTCAGCTTATTGTCCAGTCGCGCTGTCAAAAACATGATAAAAGTATGCAAAATGATTTTGACCAAGAGCTTGTTTGAGGATTCATCATGATGAAAGTCATCAAGGGCTGGAAGTCATCTTGTTAATGGCCAGCGGAGCACAACCGTGATGTTGTCTCGATTCGTTTCACTTTTCGTTCAAATGTCCGAGTCGGTTCATCTCCCCTTCGCCCTGTTCCAATCTGCTCCCAGGATGCCGTCCGTGTGGCTGACCGTGACCCCTGACCTCCCAAGGCCAGTGACCTTTCCCTGTGGAGGTTAATATCGTGTGTGTCCAATGATAATTGGATCACAAACCATTTCAGGAGTTAAAATCTGCGTAGCTCACTCCACATTTAGCGTCCATAGAGAGACGACACCTTAAGACATAACTCTTAAAAACATTGCATAGTCCTCCTGCTGTAACAAGTCTTAGCAGATCCATCTATGATATCTGGAGCGCCGATAGCCTCCGATCACCGACGTGTTGCAACTGGCTCAACTGCAGCCCACACGGGCCCACCGAACAGGAAAACAACACTGTTCTACTCCATTTCAAGACAAAATAGGGAATAATACGCAAGACAAAAAAGGAAAACACCCCGATTTGAGGAGAGAAACTCCAAACGCGTGTTCCATTCACCCACATTGGCACACCGGTTGGCCTGAAGTCGGTTGCGTGGTGTCAAACAGAGAGGTCCCGGTATGTAATCACACGGTAAACACCGCTTGTTCGCGAGGAACGCATTCTCCGCCACATTATAAAGCTGCATTCGGGCACCTGAACAAAACCAAATAAATAAATAAATCGAGGGCGCGCGCGCGCGCGCCGCTGTGCGTAACGGACAGGTAACACGGCGTTCCGTGCGTGCGAAACGCGACAGGAAAACAGCCGCCGAGCTGACGGAGACGCACAAGAATGCGTGACGGCATTAAAAGTCATCGAATCACTCACCTCGACGGCAACCGACAATAAGTCCAGGGCGCAAAATTGCGTTGGAGAAGGCGAGGCGACCCCTTCGGTGTTGCCGCCTGTCACCGGGAAGGAGGAGTTTGTGTTTACTCCGACATACACACAACCGGCTGTCACGGAGCACACGGGGTCCTCCTCCACCCGTTTGGAGAGGAAAGGGAGCCACAGTCTGGACACTCGTTGTATTACAACTTTATTCATAAAGTTCCTAAATGTTTTATTCAATTCCTGTTTTTAATAATGAACAAAAGACAAACTGTAATTGATAAAGGATGAATTGGAATGGAAAGGGTTAGTGCTTCTTCTTTGCATACTGCATGTAGGGACACATACAGAGTATAATATTTCTTAATTAATACACTGATGAATTACTGTATTTCACCCAAGTGAGTTTGATCAGTAACAGTGTTCTCTTTTCAAATCAGTGTCACCAACCAGGTGGCTCGCGGTGTAAAGTGAGTGATTTATAGAGGCAACAGTGCAGTTTGCTTTGTTTTTTTATTCTCATGTGATGATCTCATTTATGACGTTATTGCCCCCATGTTTCCACGTCCCCTGTCGTCACGGCTTTAGTGCATCGCTGATGACTCATAAACGTGGTCAGATGTCCACGCCTCTTCCAGTAACATCTTAGGTTTAGTCCGACACGTAAATAATTCATCTGCAGTTTGTTTTATGACCCAACAATCTCAGGAACAAGCCTTTGAGCCGAGGACTGTGAAGGTGGTTCTCTTAAAGTGAACCACAGGTCCAGGATCTAAACGGTCTTCCCATCAAAGAGTCTCGTTTTGCTCGTGCATCCACTGTAAGCACCGTCCCCTAGCAGGTGATATTTTCTTTGCAGCCTGAGAACAGACTCGACTGCCGAGTGAACTGGTGTCCTACCATGACAACGAGCTGTGTGTTTTCCTTTCAAACCAAAGGTCGCTATCATAATCTGGAGATTTTATGACCAGCAGTCCACTCCACCCAGGAAGGTAACTCATACACAGAATCTTTAGAGGATCACAGGGTCTGAATCAGCTTCTCAGGCGTCACCCGAGCGTTTTTCGAGAAGAGAGGTCGCAACTTGGATCTAACCAGCGGCACTGGAATACAGCAATAATGCCATCCCTTACAAAGAGCCTTTATTTCATGTCCAGCGCGCTGTTAACTTCCATTGCCGTCGGGGTGTTGGGGTTCTGCATGTCAACGGAATGGGCTAAGATGGCCATGGAGTGCACAAGAAACGGAAGTAGCTTCTCCAATGGATCTGCTGTCGTCACTTTGGGCCCTTTTACCGGGCACATGAACAGAAGCTTTTGCCCTTTGTTTGGAGGCCAGGACGAATTCACCAGTAAATATTTTCTCACTTACATACTTCGAGAATCAATATCAATGGTGATGGTTTGGGTTTCCCCGTTATTGGGATTCCTGACTACAAACAACCGTACTGAAAAATTCAATTAAATTCCCACAGCAGTATGTTTTGGCAGTATATCGGGGAGCTTTAATACCGGTGTCAGGCTGATACTAACTCAGCTGGATCGGGTACTGATGACACTTGGATTGTAATCTCTGTTTGTTTTGAATATAAATTTACTAAATTGATGTTCGGGGACTTAGATTTGGACAATAAACAATTCAGTCAGTGTTCAGTGTTTAAAAACCATGCTACTCTGGATAATGAAAAGAACACTTAAATCATTGTATTTGTTCAGGCACTTTTTATTTTGTCTAAAGTATTTTCAAAGAAACCTTTAGTATCACAAAATGTTTTTTTCATTTTTATTTTGGGTGACCTAACAACAATACGGCGCGTCAGTTCTAAATTACAATATTGTTACAATGGGATAACATCTTTAAACATTTCCTTTTCTTACAGTTTTAACAGTCTGTTGTCTAAAGCATGTAAACTAACCAAAGGTTTTTTTGACTGTGTGTGTTTGTGTGTGTTTGTGTTTGTGTAGTGCTTCAAAGACTGGCAGATTTGGGAGTTGGCCCGGTGGCTCTGCACAGTGTGGTCCTGTGCCTGTTGGTCCTGTGTCTGGTGTTTTCCGGTGGCAGCATCCTTATCTCCCTCTACAACAGCGTCAGCAACCCTTATGAAACCTACATGGGGCCTATTGGCCTCTACGTCTGCAGCTCTCTCAGCGGTAAGAACTGAAGTAGAAAATGCCAGAAAACAAAAGCATCGTATTCTTTTTAATTGCGCCGATGGCGATATTTTAAGCGCTGGTGTTCATTTCACTTTTCTTTCCTTTCACATGCAGCATTTTTCTCCGTCCTGGTCCTCCTGATATTCGCGTTGAACGTCACCCTGACCAGCATGGCCGAGGATTTGGTGCAGAGTTTCGCCGACACTTTGGTAGCAGAGTTGAGGAACAAAACGTCAGAGATGCAGCTGGGATACTACCTGGTCGTCCTTTACCCAGGTCTCTCCCTCTTTGTCGTGGCGTTGGTCTACTTTTATGACCACACAGCCTACACGCAGAGGCGGGAGCAGCAGAGGCCTACAGAGGACGCGCCCAAGGAGATAATGATGTATTAGTGGTCTGCCACCGAGCGGGCTTTCAGTGACATTGATAAATTGCTCATCACATCTTTCTGGAATAACTTGCTGTAAGAATTACAGACACAAATCAAAATAAACCCCCGAAACATTTTCTGTGTGTTACGTGAAATCAGTGAATGTAAATAAACAATTGAGATGAGGTTGATCCTATCTTATTTTTTATGTATTTTTATTTTGTTAAAATGTGTATTGTACAATATTTACATTGTTTATTGCATTGACCACGGACCAAGAGAAGTCCCTTGTAACTGAATAACTTAATTAGCACTAATCCAGCTATTCTATTCGGATTAAAGGAATAATTACAGGAGGAAATCACAGAACACTTTTATTTGTATTTTTGTCAATTAGCCTTTCACTGGTATAAGTCTTACTGAAATAATTAAACATGGGAAAACGTGTAGTTGAGAAACAGGTCATAGTAGTTGGGCAAGATTCAAGATTTAAATTTAAATAAGAGACATGTGGACATTAATTGATCTTTGCTGCCCTCTATCTCTGAGGCGACATTAATGTAAATAGACGTCTCCTCTCAAATTTCCAGTCAAAATTGTCTAAAGATCTGAGTAAAAAAAGACATTCTCTGATAATTGCAGTACTTTGGTCCAAACGTCTTTGTCCGATGCAACCCGGACAAACTCATGCATCTCCACCTGTGTTGTGCTGTTCTTCAAAGTTATTTTTATTTATACAACATAGGATATAGTGATCATGAGGTTATCGTAAAATTGAACTGTCAGCATCAAGGTTTGGTGAATTTGGCATTTTTAGGGCTACTATCACCACTTGAAGAGGAAGAGGGTTGATGTTTCAACTATTCATCCACTACTTTTAGCCAGTTAAATACTGGATTCATTATTTTAGCCTAGTTATTTTACATTACATTCACTCTCAATCACAACAGTGTTCAAGTGTTAGAACAACTGAACTGACTTAATATGTGGATACATTTTTAATCAAATCATTTTTTGCAAATGAGTTGATCTCCAATCTGGAGAATGCTGGCGTTCCCTGGCAACTGGAGAAGTTGTGATTACCTTACTCACCTTCATTAATTCACTGCTACAGAGATGCGGTGCTTAAGTTGAGGCCTTTAAAATCCAGTGATGCATTGCATTTTAACTGCATCCACGTCCATCTGGGATCAACTAAAGCCTTGAAGATACAATATATTTGTAAAGATCTGTTTCATTCAATTCAAAAGATTAAAAGACTGCTGAGAAAAAGCAAAGCTTGCTTGAATCTTGCAAAGCCGAGACGGATCTCGCTCGAGTTGGCGTCTATTGTCCCCTGGATCTTCAGACGCTCTCACAGCTGTGATTCACATGGCTGTGTTGACACGCGAGCCGGGGGGAGGTGTCCTCTTACCGTTTCCCGTGTCCCATCACTCAGAGCCTACAGTGTGTTTGGACATGCCCTTTCCAGCACCTCTCAGCCCCGCGACGCCTTCTACCTGCCTTCAAAGAACCACACTTCCTTCAAGTCTCACACTTCAAGGGACCCGTGGAAGGATGCGGCAATCTGCTTCGCGAATATATATTACATTTCTGAGGATGCGCCCATTCTACAACGAATCAAAAGCCTTTCAGGCGGAGTTGGAAATCGAGCATTCCCTTTGGGGGGGGGTTCCATTTTATGTTTCAGGTTAGGAGAAATATCTGTTTGTTTTAGGCTACTAAATGCATTAAGTTGCAGGGATGAATATCCACGTTTTAACATTTATTTTCCCCAACTGCACCTGACACACAATATTCATGCCGCTGCCTGTCGTAATCCTTCTTCTATGATCAGGACTCAGTGAGGCCGGGGGAGGTTGTGTTCTCCAGAGGAGGCCTAGTCAAAGCCTTTTTTAGTGCAAACTTGCCTGCTGTGAAATTGATAAGCTCTTTACAACACAGCAAAGGACATTCGGCCATCAGAGACCCTCTCATTTTATTTGTCAACCCGTGAAAGTCATCATTTACCAAATCTCACAGACTGCAGCTGAATTAAAAGATATGCAGGAACAAAACTGTACAATAGTCTGATGAGCCATGATGAGAAATAAGACGCTACTCACGGACACGAATGAATGCATTTTAAAATTGATGCCGATTCTGGACGTTAACCTGTTCAACAGCTGCTGCAGGAGATATTCGTCTGTATCCGTGTGCACTGAGGTGTGGGATGGGGGGGGATTGTTATCGAGAGTTCCCTCTCGCCGTTTGCAGTGCAAACATTGATTGAATAAATAAAATCAGAGATGGACAGTAATCTCTTCCCCTCTCTCTTGGCTCACCAGGATGGATAAACCTGGGATTATGCAGGAGCCCTGAGCCCTGACCATGCACTCTGTGTGATGGGATTAAAGCGGCAACTTTTGTACCTGTGAAACCTTATCCTCCTTGGTCCCGCATTACAGAGGCCTGTGAAACAGACACCTCCAGCTGCAGGGCGGGGGGGGGGGTGTCCACTCTGGTAAGGCCCATCGTGGGTTGGGGGGAAGGGGCCTTCTCCTCTGGTCTTCAACCTTTGGGAGTTGAGAGGTATTGGTGTAGGTGTGTTTCTCAGTAGGGTGAGAGGCGGGTTGTGGGGGGGGGTTGACACTTTCACAAGCCCCTTGACAGGCTCCGCACCTACCAAGTCTTATAAATAAAACAAATAAAGCCCAGAAGGTGCCAGGACTGTACAGACATTCCTCGGAGTACGTACTGGAGATTATCAACCCCGTCTCCAGTCATGCCCCAAAGCGCTTTTATTTGATGTCCTTATCACTACTGAGTGACCTTCGCCCTCCATAGTGCCAGTGAGACGGGTGTCTCAGGGTGTCCCTGTTGCATTTTCCTCTTTGGTATTAAACATGCATGGTCCCACACTACGCACGTAAATTTGACCCGTTGCACCTTTAAAGACACAGATTTTGTGACTATGAAACCGTTTAAAAAAAAATGCAGTAAAAAGAAAAATACTAATTAAGTGTACTCCTTACAAATGTTTCTTCAATGTATGTTTCTTTTTTGTTAATAATGTCTATTTAAATGAAGGCAGCCCTCTATTCACTGCATATTGCACTTATATGACTGTGCATGTGTCAGTTGAAAATGAAAAAAGGTAAAGGAAACGTGAGAGAACAACACAAAGTGATGAGCTGTGTACTCCAAAGATGCTTTCACCTGCGATATTGGACGGCAAGAAGGTTCCTTACTTATCGCTGTCATTAATCTTAATCTGGCCAGCGAAGGCTGAGGTGAAGGTGGAGGAGGCGGAGGGCTAAAAAGTAATTGCACCCCTGCTGCTCCATTATGGTGTCATTCCACTGTGAACAGAAGATTAGATCTTCTCCGAATCACCTGAAGCCGGTTCTCCTCTCTACCTGGCTGTGACCGAGAGACAGAGCTCCAACCTGGTATCATACGACGGAGACAAACCGGATTAATCAATCCCTGCAGAATCTTTCGCAACAATCCGTACGTGGTAATACATTTGGGTGTGACGGATGTGGAGGGGAGCGATAACTTTCACTGCCCCACTCCGATGAACACTGCTTCAGATTAATGTGTCCCTGGTTGGCAGCCGTGATGGACATCAACAGGGTGCAACGCAGAGGGACACACTGTTGACCTGCTGACACAGCACGCGCTTCAACTGCAGCGGGAACATTTAACTTAATGCTGCAATTGTGCCTCTGGTGTCTCAACATGGAAAATCTAAAATAATTTAAAATATACAACAGAGAGGCTTTAAGACTGAAGAGAGAAGTGCAATGTGCTTTTGAATGAGGCACAGAGGGATTTATCGGTCCCCGCCTGCGCGCTCTGCAGGTTTCACTTCCAATTCAGTTTAGAACTTGTTGATGACGCACTTTTTTATATAAAACCATTGCAGTTACATCAAAATCTTCTGCAAAACAAGCTTCACCAGACAAGGCGATTTCCGTTAGTTGCTGACGCTCTGCACCAGGTGGCAGTGTTCAACAACTGAATCAAACAAATCCCTGAAGTCTGAAACTTACTTGTGTTCTGCAGGTAAAGTTGCATTTACTGTAACACAAATACCAGAAATGAATCTGGATGTGAACTTCCTGCAACAAATCAGAGCTACGATCCCTTTCGAATATGTCAATGTTACCAATGTTACCAACAGATACCAATAATTGATGCTCAGTTTACGTATCACTTTATGATCTCATTCAATAAGTGAGTCAATATCTCCCAGCGTTTTGTCCTGTTCTCCGTGAGAAAGGAGGCGCACACACTGACCCACATCCATAGATCACAGACTGTAACCAAGACGCCCAGTCACAGACCGCAAGCTGTTCTCCTCTCCGTATGGCCATAAAACATTCCAGATTCCAGTCTGCCGTGTACAGTATTTCCTTGCCGTTGTTTGCCCCTGTGTGGGCAAACAACGCAGGCGTATCGGGAAGAAAGTGTGCGTATTAAGTGCCCCCTTCTATCTGCATGCTTCACTAATATTGAGAATTTTTCCTCGATGAGAAGTCGTGCCTCACAAACGCTCTCAACGCTGCATGTCATCATCTCCCGTCAAGCACCTGACGGCGTTGAGTGTCTTTTACAGAAGCCAGATGGCGAGAGGTGCTCAGATAAAGTGCATCAAGTGTCCCCCCCTATTGAGCTTTATGAACGGATTATAGGATTTGCAAAGCTCTGTCATAAGGCCGTCAATCATTGTCGCACCCGCCTTGAATTTTACGGCGCTGTCCGCAGGAAAGGACCTCGGGGCTGTTGACATAAAGGGCATAACTTCATCTGTCGAGTCATTCAGCGCAACATCAACACCTTGAGACGATGGAAATAAAAAAGACAGATTGAGAGAGAGAGAGAGAGACAGGAACCATGTCACAAGACACTAGAAATTACCACAGCATCTCAATACCCCAAATTTACTTTAAGGAATGTCCTTGCAATTCAATACCTGTACACCTCCACATCTTTCATCGTGGAGTTTTCCGCCTCCCCTCTGAGCTGTGGCACTTCAGCCTGTGACGTAAAGTCTTAAAAGCTGCGATCACCGGCGTGTTTTCCTAATAAAACAGAGGTTCTTTGAACAGAGCAGAATTTGATATCGGCTTTCTAAACCCTGCATAAGAAACAATGCGGCCTCTCTACGGGAGGCAATGTTCAGTGTCATTCAGCGTAGAGGTGGAGACACGGTGTCTGACTGCTGGAGGGATCAGAAGGGCCCCGGGCCTGTTTGCATGTGTATGAAACAATTTGTCAGCCTGTATAACCAGTTGACCCCTTGCTCACCACTAACCTGGCGCTCCTTCCATTAAGGAGAAGTGCTATTTGCTTAAACTTGGCTATTATTTCGTAGTTTTGGCCA